CCTTCTTGTCCTGTTATTTTCCTGTAGTTAGATGTTCACATTCAAGATCTGAAAGAGTTGTGTCTTTGCATACTATTCGTTGTTGTATCACAACAAAAGTATTAGGATGACCAGAAGATGCTACAGGACAACTTCCTCAGGTGTGCTTCATAGACTTACAATATTTGTCATCAGGAGAATTCAATCATGGCAATTTGCAGTGACTTCTCTGCTCTATGATCGTCATTGCCTTCCACATGGTATTTCGGTCTGCTGAATCCATCTATATCTTAGAGTTGGAATCATTTCTTGTTATCATTGCATCTTTGGTATCAACTGTGAGAAATCTCAGACCCAGCTGTACAGCTGAGAAAATGGAGACTGGGAGTGAATCAGAAGTACCCCAAAGGACAGCTGTTTTGCCTTATTTATCTTCAGAATACATCCAGCACCATCTCTTAAGAACTGAACTTACTGGTCTTGGTACCACTCCAGTCTGTGGTGGTCATGATTTTATCAGTGAAAGGCTGCAGCATAAATGGAGGAAAAATAATTCCACTTCTCGATAGAGAACTTCTTTTTGTCCAGTTCAGAGGTAATCCTAATTCTCTTTTCACTAAATTTTCTTCTTCTGTTATTATTAAAACCACCTTAATGCCTCATTACATCTTGTGAGCTATGGTACAGCTCAGAACAGGCTATAGAGTCTGCTGAAATAAAGAGAGAGATAGAATTATAGAATAATTTAGGTTGAAAAAGACCCATAAGATCATCAAGCCTAACCATCCACCTAACACCACCAAGTGCACCGCTAGACCATGTCCCTAAGTGTAACGTCCACATGTCTATTAAATACCTTCAGTGATGGGAACTCCACACTTCTGTGGGCTTGTTCCCATGTCCATGTACCCTTTTCATTGAGAAGGTCTTTCTGATATCCAACTTAAAACTTACCTGGTGCAAATTGAAACCGTTCCTTGCATTATAGAGACAGTGCTCCCCCTGTTCAGTTATAGTTGGCACAGAAATACCCAACCTAACGTATATGGGTTGTGTTTATATGAGCTGTAGTGACTCTGGTGTGAAACAGCATTTTTAAAAAATCAACATCTTGGGTTTTGTCTCGCTTCAGTTCCAGAAAATATTCAGAAAGACACAACTCCTTTCACCCCATTTCTTGACCAACAGCCACATATCACAGATAATAGAGCACTGAAGTTTTGAACGGTAGGATGTTTTTTTCTGAGCTGCTGTAGTGAAGTTTACACAGTGATAAATGTGTGACAGATCGCTATCCATTATCTCACTGTCCTGGAATTTTCATTTAAGAAGTAGAGATGAGCAACAAAACATTTGATTGCAGAGGTAAGCCTTACATTCTCTTTGAGGCACCTCAAATTTCATGCCGGAGTAAAGGCTACATAGATACTATTACAGAGATATTCTTGGCTTTGGTCCTGAATCATCAGCGAGGATTGTGGATTTACTATTAAAAGAATAAGTGTTTCTTTAGAATCAAAACAGATTACTGTAAAGAAAGTGAAAATTACCAGAACACCAAACCAGTCTGTCTTTCCCAGGATACCAATAGCTAGAAAAAGCAGAGGTCATGTATCATATTTTGTCACTTCATTCTATTGATATTTTTCATGTTTCAGGCAGACATCCAAAGTTGGATACTTTTCCATAAAGGAAAAGCAACAAAAACAAAGTTGCAGTAATAATGCAGCCATTATCAGTTGTTCCCACACCTACAATGTTGATTCCACAACTGGGAATGTGATGCACACCTTTTCCTTTCTTCATGGAATAAATGTATTTAGAGTATCTTTCCATTATTTTAAAGCATCTAAAAATGCCTGACTTTGTGGTGTCATGTCATGAAGTTCAAGGAATGAATTAAGGTGCCGATTTTTCTACAGTCTGGGTAGTATATAATATAGGCAAGATTTAGGCACCGGATCTGTCATTTTTGATGTGTTGTTAGTCCACCTAAAGCAAGCTTACTCTGTTTGCATGCAGAAGAAGCACATAAATCCAGAGAGAAATTCCATCCACAGAAAGTCTATTGTGTAAGTCTATTCTGCTGTCAGATGGTGAAAAAAAATTGGTCTGTTGAAACATGTTGTTGTCTTTTTCTTGGAATACACAGTTCTTATACTTTTTTTTTTTTTTTTTTTTTTTAATATGTATATTAGATATATGGCTTCAGTTGAAATTCTTTTAATAACAAACATCTGTATATGGGTAGTAATCAATGGAGCAACAGAGGGGATGAACAGAGATCATATCTTAGCAGTGAGGCTTTTTTATGCTCTGGTTTCTTCAGCCTGTGCAGTGATAGAGGTCTTCAGCTTAAACAGGCATAAATATTTCTTAAGAGCATGCTCACAAACACAAACTGGGATCAGAAGGAAGGCAGGTCATGCTTCATCATCCTCTTCTTACCTAGATCTGTAATCCATAAGAAAAAGTTGTTATTCCATTCCCAGCTATCACATGTGAAAACAGTCGTGGATTTTCTTATTGGTGAATCATGTCAATTCACCCATTGTCTCAGAAAAACTCCACACCTTTCAAGTGAGAGCTATGTTGTGTTTGTTTGGTTTTTTTCACCTGTAAAAATAACAAGAGCTTTTTTGAATGCGATGTCTCATCCATACAGTTCCCAAAGAGAAGTTGCTTAAGAAACTAGTTGCTTCTACTCTGGTGCTGTGGAGTCCATGTGCCTTTCACAGAACTCTTCTCAATCTGTGGTGTGAAGTGCTGTGCTGGTTACTGCTGTGCTGGGTTAAAGGCTTACAGTCCTGAGTTTCTCAGAAGCTACTGTCTTCTCAGATGTGTCAGCATAACTGCACATGCAGTCATTTCCTGGTCCCGTTCTATTAAAATGATGTATATTGGGCATTTTAAGAGGAAAAACTGTTGTTCAAACTTCTTGGAAGAGCAAGGTCAAGAAGTGAATATATGTGCTGCTGTTAGTACAGTTTGGAGGAGGGATTAGTGTGTATCCAGGACAATAAATTCTTCATCAAGCTCAACTGCAGCCAATGCAAACTATACAACTACTTCCTACATATTTAGGAATGCATCTCCTTACACTTCAGGGCTTGATTTATGCCCTGAAATCCCTGATGGAATTATTTCACTCCCCATTCTCAGAAACACTGCAGTAATAGATGCATCTTTCCATGCTCAGTAACATAAAAAAAAATGTGAAGTTTTCAGCATCTAACATAAAAATTTCTGTATTCAGGTAGTACCAATCATTTCCTTTTCCAAACTGTAGGCTTAGAAGTCCATTGTGTTGGACACATATGTTTAAAACATCAATATTAAATGATAGTGGTTCCATTTCTCCCTTTTTTCCAAATTTTCTCTGTCATGTCTTCTTTCACATGGAGCTCAATGAGTACACTTTTTGAAGCAAGTATTTTTGTTTTATCCCCACATAAGTTGTGTAAAAAGAAAGATGCAGAAGGAAAATGAGAAAGCTGATTTAGTCTCCTCAAGGAGTAGTAATAGATGAATTAGGAAAAGAAGATTTAATGTCATTCCTACCCTTAGCAATCTGTCATTGTGATCCTAAGTCAGCAGGTTATGAATGGGTCTTGTTTATAAAAAGATCTTGACAACAAATGGATGTATTGGTATAATTAACATTGATCTTAATTGTTTACACTGAGGTTCTTCAACGTTTCTTATGTTTTTAATAAACAACTGTTATGGCACTGTAGTTAGTATAATAATTGCTATTGTCATGATTAGTAGAATAATTTTAGCACCCCTTATTATTCTTGAAAATTATTTTTCTGAAATTACTAACATTGCTATGACCTTCTTTACTATGAGGTCAAAATTTGGATTATTTGGGAATTTGGAACCTTTACTACTTTGATTCCATTTACAACTAAATGTTTAGATTAAAGGTAGAAAATCGGTGATATTCCAGCTCCCTCTTTCTTCATTGCTCCTGCATGATAACATCTTTTACACCATGGTTAGGAAGGACCTCTGTTCTACTAGTGGAACAGCATGTCTCTTTTTTATGAGGTCAGGGACTGGCCGTTCCTATTGGACAACAAGTTTTCCTTTATGTTATGTATATCCTGACTTGGCCACAGCAATCAGAGGTGAGAATTATGGTCAGAAACAGTGGTTTTCCCTAATGTATAGCAGCCCTTTGAATTCAAGAAGTGCTGTCGTATCGGCAAGGTTATTGTCTGCATCTCCCCTCTCTCCAGTACCTACAGAATGTTTCAGACAACACTGGGATATTTGTGAGAGTTTTTTGCTATTGGTAAGGTGGTGTTTCTATATCTGGTTATTACACTGCTGTGGAACGTTCTTGCTTAAAATATTTCTTCAAAGTTGCAAAAGGTTTGTAACTTTTTTCTTAATTACTCAAGATATACATCAAAGAGCCCACTATTATATTGATTGCTTGCAAACAAAAGTCAGAGAATAGCTCAAGCATGCTTAAGGGCATCTATCTCAGCATCTGTCTTGTAGCACAAAAAGTGTCCGTGTCATCATATGCTTCTGGGAACACTCCGTATTGTTCAAGTGATTTCAATAAATTTGTCGCATGCCATCTCCCTTCTAAAATAGCTGCATGAATAGGCAATGTAACCTAATGTAATTTAACACAGAAGTCTTATGATTAGTTAAGTATTTTTGTGTGCATTCTCAAAATCCATTCTGGAAATGTAAACCAGTATAAGGAATGAAAATCTTCAGAGGAGGAAGCAATAAATGGTAGTTATTAAAAATGGAGCAGCTAAGTGAAGAATAATAGCACATAATATGTTTTTCTTGTCCTATAAGCAACTTTGGTATCAGCACTGTCATCTTGGGTCTGGGGGCAGGTGGGTCTTGGCTTCCTGCTCCACCGATGGATGTAGAACCACAGTAACCATGTTTATTTCTGCTCAGTGGAGTTGCATGCTGCTACAATGTTTATTGTATGTTCAGTTCTCTCAGTTCCACAGTATGATCACATACCTACATGTGTTTTTCAGACAAGAAGCCCTTCTTGCTGCCATTAGTGAAAAAGATGCCAATATTGCCCTGCTAGAGCTTTCATCCTCTAAGAAGAAGACTCAAGATGAAGTGGCTGCCCTCAAACGAGAGAAAGACCGCCTTGTGCAACAGCTCAAGCAGCAGGTGAGTAGAGCGAGGATAGGAAAGAAACCAGTTCATAATTTAATGTGAGGTTATTATCTTGATTTTTGGAACTAATAATACATAATCTCCATCTATCAGAACAAAAAGTGCATAAATATGGACTTTAAACTAGCTACTCATCATGAGCTCTGTAAAACACGGTGGGAATGAAACAGTCTCAATTATAAAGGAAGTTTCTTTGTGTCCCTGCCTCATTATTAAATGTATGGTACTATATGTAGGACACTATGATTTAAAGAGACGTTTATCTTTAACTTCCAGAGGCACACGGAAGTGCAGTGATAGTACTTGTGGTGACCTGTATTTTTCTTGTCAGAGAGGAAGCATAGACTGAAGAAAATTCTTGCCATAAAGGTCAAATGCATCTGTTACACTGCACAGTCTCTGCTGTGATTCCTAATCTATGACAGAAACACTATAAGGGAATGGCAGCTACTTGAGTGGAATCCGGGAGGTCTCATGCTAGTGAAGAGATTGGTCCCTTTCTATTTCTGTTCTTTCCCTGTTTCCAAGTTCTTTATGTTTAAGCAAAATGATCAGAAAAAGCATATTTCGATTCAAGCTTTTAAAATTATGTTTTGATATTAAATGCAAAGCGAAAGATACAGTGATAATAAAACAATGAGGAAGCAGAAGGCAATTTTGTCAATAGGAGATCCAGAATGTGTTTAGATTTTTCACTTTAACACTTTTGGTGGATTATGCTATGTTCCTCACGTGCCACATTCCCTGAAAGAGCATATAATACTACTGTCAATCCAGTATCAACTTCTTCAGTGTCACTGATTCCATCTTCATCAAGTTTTACGTGTACTTCATTTGTCAAATGTTATTTTTCTTGCTGTCAAAATCTAAGACAAAAGCAGGTCTGGTCCCTAATAAGGGATTCCTCTGCTTCTTCCTTAGAAAATACAAGTAGGTTACTGGTCCTGTATTTTTAAGATGACAATTATGTGCTGTTTAATTGTGCAGCAAGGGTTGTGCAGTTTTACAGTAGCATTAAAACAAGTAGAAAATACCATTTACCCATTTACTTTTGAGCAAAGGTTGTAACTACTTTCACTCATCACCCAGATGCCCTCCTACTACAACAGGATTCTGAAGTGTTGACAGCAACTGTACTTATTTTCTTAGAGTAACTGTCTGTAGGTGTAACAGCCTTAATATACATTACTACTCGTTTTAAGAGAAATTGGCTTTTTTTTTTATTAGCAGTTCTTGTCTCAAGTTTAAACTATAGCTCCTTTATGCACATTGTTCTTCCTCGTATCCTTCTGATTATCCTTGGTTGGTGAAGAGAATGGTCTTTAGGGTTGGTTTTTGTGTTTTTTTTCCTACTGATTACTTGTGTGTATGCAGTTTGTATATTAACATTGTGATTTTCTATAGTGTCTTAAGTTTCACCTAGATGATTTTTAGAATGTTGGTAGTTCATATCAATAGTTTTCAGTGCTGATAAGTCACATAATATCGTATATTGTTCCTGCAAAGGCATTTCTCTGAAGGATGCCCATTCTAACTGCTTTTATGCATAGGTACAACGTACTTAATTTTCAAAATAAACAAATGCATGAGAGATTAACTTGAAATTTTTCTTGCTATGACCTGTATGAATTGAGGCCACTTCTGGTTGGACTGGATGATCTTATAGGTCGTTTCCAACCTTGTGATTCTATGATTCTATGATTCTGTGGACTTTACACGTTGTCTGTTTTTTGGATCAGTAGCCCCTTTTTAAAAAAATCATTGGAATATTCAAATGCCTTTGAAGTTTCTGAATCCAAAATTGCCCTTATCTATAAAGACTCTTTATTGTTCCTCTTCTTAAAAGAACCTTGAAGAAAGCATACAGTACATCATAGTCTCCTCAAAACATCTCTGCTACGAGCATTATATATAAATAGTATGTGAGCAATATAAGTACAAATATAAAGTCATAGACAACAGCACTGTGAGGTACTGTCCAGTGCATCCTTGGTATCTAAGGCAGAATATATGTTTATATATAAACAATTTAAACTCTATTAAAGCTGTACTTGACATATCCTTATTTGATGTAACAGAGATTTGACATAATCTATCCTACATTGTAAGAGTATATCATCTTTTGTCTTTCTTTGTGTGCCACATTCAATACTATTGAAAGAAAAGCTCTTCAGAGTTGCTTATCGTGGACAGTAATTCTATCAGCAGACAATTCACCAACTCTGTAAGATATAGGGGACATGACATCACATTTATTTCTTCAATACAAATAGTTTTAATATGTAGTTTTTCTGCATTGAGTCACCAACTCAAATCACCAACTACAGCAGCTCCAGATACAGGAGATGGGGCAGAAGAGATGGCTATGAAAAGGCTATGATATTTTCCGATTTGATGTTATTTTTTACGATTCTAATTACAAATATTTTCAAAGGGAAAATCATTTTTCCATGTGCTTTGCAAATAATCTGTTTGTTTTTCCCTTGTGGTTCTCTTTGGTAATTACAGGTCACCCAGCTGAACAGCCTTGTGTTTTCAAAAACAGTCACAATGCCTCTTCATCAGTTTAAACTTTCTCTGAGTACATCCTACTCTACGTCTCGAACAAAGGTCCATCTCTGTTAGCAGTTCCAGGGACTGTATCACATTTCAGGAATGTCTTAGAAGTTTAGCTGCAGTTCCTAAAATTCCATTAGAAATCATGAGTGAAAAATCAAACTTGTATTAAACATTGTTCAAGAAAAACAAGCGGTGCTGATTAATCAAGATCTTCCGGAAGACTCTGAAAAGCAACTCTGGATCTTAAAAAGTTTATTCATTCCTTCAGATTCAGAGTTGGGATCCTGACCTCAGTATTTCCTTCCTTGCGTCTTCAATACTATTTTAGGACTGTTGAGATCCCTGATAAGTATGTTGTATTTCAGTCCATCCCATTTCTAGGAAACACTTACAGTTTGTTGTGGGAAAGCAGTTCTTTCGGTTGGCTAGAGAGCAGTGTTGACTAAGAGGTTCCAGTTTCCATGTACGTAGGATGCAAACAGAAGTGCTGAGCAATATCGGAAGGAGGTGGTTTGTGTGAAGAGTTACGCATACCATGGTGAGCACCATGGGCCTGATTTATCTGACAGCGAGCTAGAAAAGAGCTTCTGACAGAGATAACTGTTTAGAAAAGCAGTTTTCTGATCACATTATAGTGAATGTGAATGGATCTAATTGTTGTCTAGGTTGGGATTTCAGATTATGCCTTTTCATGGCTTGTGCTGGTTATCGCTGAGTGGCTACAATAACTTCTGTTGTTAGCAGACTGACTCACTGTTAGTTGACTTTTCTTAGCGTATATAAAGATGCAACTCTTTCCTAAAACAAGAGCAGTCTATCATTAAGTCCCAATTCACATCTTAAGAAATAATTTCCATGTTCTTCTGCCCCACAATTTCAAATGGTTTTTTCTTACTTAAAACTAGTTGTGAAGACAGAGATTTGTCAATGGAAGATCATATTGATACTTGAAGATTCTGTGATTATTCTTTCCTCTGTCTCTTCCCAACACTGTGTCCTATTCCAAGCCGCTCGCCTGGGAAGGGTATTACTATGAAAGAGAAGGAAGGAGTGCTGCCAAAGGCATTTTGGTTCTTTAATATACATACTTAAAGAAATTAAAGTTTGGATGAAGAGAGGCATTTCGGAAAGAGGATATGGCATGAATGTTGTTTTAATTTAGAATTTCTAGGCTCTGAATTGCAGGAATGTGCCTCAATATAGAGACCATTTCCTAATGAGGCACTCAGCATTGACCAGGCTTTCCAGTAAATGGAGCTGCCTGTTTCATATTGGTTGTCAGTTTGCATGAGGGATTTCCTCTATCATTGGAAAGGGAGGCCAATTGCAGGGCGAGGGTCACCAGCTAATGTGGTCCCAATTTACTTCCTCCCAAAGTACTTTGTCTCCTTGACTGGTTCATGGCGAAAGAGTGGTTGGGAGGCTGCCCCACATGAGGGGGCCAGGGCTGATGCAAGAATACAGAGCTGACGGTTGCCTAACACAGTCCAGATGTAGTGTGGCGAGCGCCAGCCTCAGCACTCAGTTTATATGCCATACAGAAGTCCCTGCAATGTGTGTCATGCTGGAATTGAAAGAGACCTGAGGAGCTTTGTGGCAGCATGTCCACCACTGTCCTGTTAGAAAAGAGCCTATTTACCATTTATGCATTTTTTTGTCAAACGGAATTTTAAAAAGTCAGGATGTTTTTGTTGTAGCTGTGTGAAATCCTACTTCTTAAGTTTTGAGTTGTAAATGGAAGGCATACATGAATGGGCTGAGGTTTTCCTGTCTGTGGGCTTTGAGTCTCAAATGTTTGGGGTTTTCTACTAGGAGCTATTTGGAGTAAAGATTGTCATTTTCTGTGTTTATACAATGTCTAGCACAGTGGGGGCCTAACTTGACCAATATCTCTAAACATTATGATGCCATAAATGTCAAGTCATTAGTATGTAGTAGTCATACTAATGAAATTGTTAGGAGGCTGTGAACTCGTATCTGTGTGTCTTCTGAGCTTAGAGTGTTATTCCATTGAATTGTTTGTAAATCACTCTACTCATACTATTACATGATTCACCATACTTACTTGAATTATTATATAAAGATTTCATAATTATTCTCAAATATTATTGTAATATCAAAACTAGCTTGGTTCAATTATATTGATGATGGAATCTCTAAATTTTCATTTTAGATGATGTGATGCCATGTTGCACTGCAAGCTGGGTTGCTGAGTACGTTTGTACTTTGCTGCCTTTTCTTACATAAAGTTCCCTAATCTATAGAACCAGTTGAATAATCTTTTAAAAACATTTACAGTTTTGGTCCCGTACTTTAGCTAAGCTTCCTCCTTCACATTTCATAAACATGAAGTTTATACTATCATGCAGGTTCTTAATGAAAAAAATACTGAATAGTGCTGAACTCAGGACAGGTCTCCATGAAACACATCTGAT